AATCTCATGTTAAACATTACACTATCATCCGCAATTGTTCAATCAAATGTCAAATAAATATTAAGACATTGTATATTTTCTAATTGTCTAATAATTCTCAAATATATAGTTCGACAACACCCTGAACAACGTTGATGCTACACAATTTCTTCCCCAACAGCTATGTCCATACACAACTTCCTTTTCTCCAGTAAGGTGTCTCCGACTTCAATAATAAAATTTATTAAAAAAAAATTGTTGGGATCACTATACTATATTAATGATATAGAATATAGAAATAATATGTAGTAGAAAATTATAAACACACAAATAATGGGTAAATACTTAACTCTTTCTCTACCTTAATCTTTTTGTTAAAACAGTTAACTGAACAATTAAAATCTTCTTCATTGACGGCATCAAATTTTATAATCAACGGTGACAACAAAGTGAGGGAAACATCAGCAACATCGGCACTATTACATGTTTGACTCTCATCATCCTGGTAAGACATTGAAATTGTATAAAATTATGAAATGTTATTCAAATAACGCAAACCACGACTCTTTTTGGATCTACTGATACAACATCAGTGTCACAAGTATTATCGAATACTGCTTGATCCTGAAAATTAAAAATATTTGTAAAACTAATACAAATCAAAGTACTAATATAATCAAATAACGTTTGAAAAACTAAATCAACATACATTCGGGTCAACAACAGACTTAAGGTATGACGCAATAATAGTCTCGTTGCATCAAACTTTATAAACTTGATATTTTGGCTCTGTGTATGATTCCAAATTTTTCTGTTTCACATTGACTTTAAATGAATGGATTTGTCATTAAGAATGTTAAGATCTTCCAGATAATGATCCAAATCATCACCCTGTTTGAAATGTGGAGGAATTAGAATCAGACCCTTTTGAAATGTTGCTCGCGTAAATCAGAAGAACTCATTCTCAACAAAGCAACATAGTCTTTATCGAACAGAAGAAAAAATGCAGAATCCGTGTTATCCACAACCCTCACTTGAATTCTGAATCTGCCAAGACATTAACACCGGCTGTTTAGTTATGCATCAAAAAAGAATAAGTGAAATATACGCTACTTTCTTATTGAAATTCAAAACACGTTGAGGAGAATAATTTACTTTACATGATAATCATCCCAATGTTTCTGACAGTTCTTACAATGCAATTTTTCAAAATCAGAACAAACAGAATACAAACTTTTCTTACAGGACTTGTACCACTAGTAGTATTTTGATTCAATCGACTTTATGGTTCCAAAAGTAATGCACGCCGTAACCTGACATATGAATAATAAAAACATAAGAACACCAAAAACATAATCCAATAAAGATACAGGAAAGCATTCATCAGTTGTGAAAACATACCTCCATTCCATTCTTAATATCACTGATACACTTACTTTCGGTATCTTTTAGAAACTCACATTCAAAAGAGTATGAGATTGAGTAGACAACTAAGTCAACCTCAGACTGCTTTCTATCGAATCAGGCAAAGGCCTAATACGTAATTATATAACACAGAATAGAATCAGAGCATATACGAAAATGAATGCTTTCGGAAAGACACATCCGACTATATTAAATTATTTATTCTTAAAAGTATATATGATACCTTTTTTGAAGTCTATAATCTCTGGTACATTGGAATCAAAAGGGATTCTTGTGGTATATTTTATATTTGTTATTCCCATTTTACCTATACATTCAAAAAAACAAATACAGTAAGGCCCAAAGAAAAAAATACAGTATAACAAAGAAATTGAACAGTGTATACTCAAACATAAGCATAAAATGATAAAGAAATATCAGTAAAAATATCCCTGAAACCCTTTATCCTTGCAAGCTGGACTATGATCATATTCTCGATATTCATCATCTGCCAAAAAAGTTTATAATTGATCTACATACTGCTCCCACAAAGTACACTCAAACTTGTGTCCCCTATTTCGCAATGGTTGAAAGAAATCGTGTTATATATTTAAAACACATTTAACCAAAAAAAATCTATATAAACGTAGATAAACATAAATACCTTAGGTTGCCAAGTTCTAATACAACCATCTTCATTTTTCTACCAGAAATAACGTAATCACGAACTTCCTTAATTCCTGACAGTAAATCAATGACGTCTACAAAACAAAGAAGTTGGACATATGGTCATCTTAAAAACAAAACAAATAAGTGAGTAATATCAGAGACAAAATATATTACCTACTAAATAAAGACAGTCAGGTCTTCTTTCTCAATAATGTCAAAATCAACAAAATCGAATTCATTGGCAGGAAAATTAGCGTCAACAATCAATTTAACATCTGTCCTTAAGTTGAAAGACAGGCGATAATCATGATTATCATCTGTCTTTCAACTTGAGGACGGATGTTAAATCAACTACAAAATTTCTGATAAAACAGATATCTCCTTCATGAATTTTATTCTGGGCTTGTAATTAACCTTTCACAGTAACATGGATCCTTCCGCCCTACAAAATGCTCACATTAATAAAATAATGAAAATCAAATTATATCATTTCACAAAAAATTATGCCATTTAGAAACCAAAAGTATTACATGTTCATCCAATAGAACTATCTTCACATTGTCATCAAAATCTTTCCGATACAAATTAGGAACCTTCTAAGTCCTAACCACTCTAACCTTAATCCTCCACTCCTCCTTGGTATGATTAAGATCCTTTATAAAATCATATTTGAAATACATAACGTAGAAGAACAACTTGAGAAGAAGAAGAAGAAAAATAGATAGAGAACAGAAGAAATGTGTGCATAGAAGCCAACTTTCCAAAGAATGAAGTAATTTTCATCTAGGGTTTTGGATGGAGCAAAATAAGAAAAATGTCTCATTTAACTTTAAATAAGAAAAAAAGAAAAACTAAACATGATGGCTATTCAACCCCTTGATTAGCACCCCATCACTTCCCAATCATATGGCTAATTTCTTTTTTATTTATTCAATCAATCCAATTGATTGGTTTCCTTAATTTTAGCCAATCAATCTAATTAATTGATTTCATTAATTTGAGCCAATCAATCTAATTAATTGATTTTATTAATTTGAACCAATCAATCCAATTAATTGGTTTCATTAATTTGAGTCAATCAATCTAATTAATTGTTTTCCTTAATTTTTCCAAATCTAATTGCATTACTATATTTAAATTTAAAATTAGAATTCAAATTAATTTTATTAATTTAACGTTTAAATTAATTAGGTTGCACCATGGATCAAGTTTCATTTGACCCATGACGTATATAATTTAAATCTTTTTAAAAAATTTCTTAAGATGGAAAGTTTGTACAATTTTCAAAAGAATCCAAATAATTGTATATTTTTTTAAAAATATTTACTTAAGAGGGAAGATTTACACTTTTCAAAAGAATCCAAATCATTGTATGAATTACGCTTGGCAAAAAATTTCACAGAATGACCTTGAATTATAATACAGTATAGATTAATATATGAGGTATATTAAGCCAAATGGTGCTAGAAAGAATTTTCCGCCCAGCCACTACCTAAAATAAATGGATCTTGATCCTCTAATGTGAAAAATCACATGACCATGTTATGTGGAAAATCATAACAATACAAAGGTAGATCAATGGTAATAAAGGAGGAGAGAGAAAATATATTAAAATAGATAATTACAAAATCATACTGTTGCATTTACCTTTTATCAAGTATTTTTTTTTTTTTTTAAGTGAATACTTGTTTAATTTAGTTAGCTGGGAAAGCATATTACTATATGGACCGCGCAAGATCCCATTTTCAAAACCTTAATCAATGAGGAATAAAACAAGATAATGACAAAAGAAAAATGTTTTTCTATTTTCTACTGCCAATTTTTTAAAGCTCGCACAACCTCATCGAAAGTTGAACAAACAGAAAAACAATGTTGTTCTGCTGTACCATCATACTCCTTATATATTGAATTCTAACGTATTTAGAAACATGCACACATGTTACATATAATATTTAAGCAAAATAACCAAACCAGACATTTGTCAAGTGCTAGACTCCGAACATGCATTTAAAAATTCTTCAATTTTAAATTCTTAAGCATTCACCAGATCTATTTGTGGTACACAGTGATATTCACCAACTACAATCTGTCTCATTTTTTTTTTACAATGGAAGTTAATCACGAGACTTTCAAGCTGAAAATTTCAATGTTGAATCATTTAAAAATTATTCTCACGAGTCACGGCTTTATTCCTAATGCAAGGAATAAAACAAAATTAGTTTCAGTCATCGAGCAAATAACCACAACACAGATAAACACATTGAAGTAAAAAATTCTGTTTAAAGGGATGAATAGTTTTGCAGTTCTTGACTCTGGAGTCAACTTGGAGCATAGGAATATATCAGCAAAGCGACGCTAGCAAAATGTTGGAGGGTCCAATTTGATGTTTATATTTTAATATTAATAATGACCATTATGAAATGAAAATGACAAGGCCGACAAAATTTGTGATTGTTAATGATACGGTCGTAATAAGAAAGACGCAGAGAGAGAGAGGGGGGGGCTGAGGATTATGATTCATATATTTGTTTAAAATATATAACCATGCAAAAGTTGTCAGAAATTTCAGTATTTTTTTATAGGCAATAGTGACAATGATAATGAAATGAACGATGGAAAAGCACTAAAAAATAGAGAAGAATAAAAAAGAATTAAGGGGAGAAGCTTTTAGCCATGCCGGTTAGAATTTAATCAATGGTTCAATCATGTCACCGTAAATCGTAGAAAGCAAGGGGGGGGGGGGGGGGTCTACTACCCATGATGTTAAATAATAGAAGTGGACTTGTCTCTCTCTCTCTCTCTCTCTCATCCTGTCATTCTCTTTCACTGTTCTCTCTCTCTATAAGCCTATGTATCTATATATCCATCTGAATATACAAATGATACTCTCTTTTTACATGGTTGCTTTTCCATCCCTTTTTTCTGCTTACTTTACGAGAGAAGGGAAAGGTAATGAGAGTGCATATGAACAAAAGTTTATGGCAAAAAATTTGAACTTTGTTAAAAGCAAAATATATGCAATAATAAAGAAAGAAAATATTTTTCTGGGGTTGAGAAAGAGAACAGAGGAAAAGACAGAAAGCACAACGTCAGAGTTAACCGTAGGGTTTCCCTTGGGTATTGTTTTGGACAGCCTGAGGTACAGAGGGAATCCCTCTTCTCATCTCATCCACATCACTCTCTCTCTCCCTTTCTCTCTCTCTCAGTTTGAACTTTGAGCAACTGGGTCTATATTTTTGTTCATATTAGTGTGGCTATCACTGGATTTTTTTGGTGTATATATATAAAAAAAAAAACAAAAAATTGTCTCTTGGGTTGGTGCCAAACAAGTAGAGGAAACCATTGAAGCTTGTAGTGAGGGATTGTTTTGCTTCATAGAGATAGAGAACTATATATCTCCACTTTTTTTTTTCTTTTGCTTTAAAAAAAATCTGGATTTCAAAGACTATTCCTGAGTTGTATGCCAATTTTGCCTCTTTGTTCTGTTATTTCTCTCACTTGTCCAGCTTTTTTCCTTTTCTGTTTTCAGTAAGGGTTGTTCTTAGCTAGATCCCAGAAGCAAGACTTGTTGTAACATATATACGAAGAACCCAGATCTATGGCCCATGACACAGACTTAGGATTCAAAAAATTCCAAATATAAGAAAAGATGATGAAGGGTTTGATGTTCCAACAAGAACAGCAGCAGCAGCAACCATTGGTGGAGGAAAACATGTCTAATTTGACTTCTGCATCCGGTGAAGCTAGTGCTTCCTCAGGCAACAGAACAGAAATTGGTACCAGTTACCCTCAACAACACCTTGCTTCACCACCAACTCAAACACAGCCTCCACTTAAGAAAAAGAGAAACCTTCCTGGCAACCCAGGTTTCTTATCTATCTCTATTCAGAGTTCTAAGTATCATTTGTTTTGTTTTGTTTAATATATGTCCTTGTCTTGTTTCTCTGAATTGGGTTTCTCTTATCCTTTTGTTTTTTGTGTTTTGTGTTTTGTGTTTTTTGTTTTTTTTCAATCTATTTTAGACCCAGATGCTGAAGTAATCGCCTTGTCTCCAAAGACTCTTATGACATCGAATAGGTTCATTTGTGAGATCTGTAACAAAGGATTCCAAAGAGATCAGAATCTTCAACTTCATAGAAGAGGACACAATTTACCATGGAAGCTGAAGCAGAGAACAAGCAAAGAGATAAAGAAGAAGGTGTATGTGTGTCCAGAAGCCACTTGTGTGCACCATGACCCAGCAAGAGCCCTGGGAGACCTAACAGGTATCAAGAAGCACTTCTGCAGAAAGCACGGTGAGAAGAAGTGGAAATGTGACAAGTGCTCAAAGAAGTATGCAGTTCAATCAGACTGGAAAGCTCACTCGAAAACCTGTGGAACAAGGGAGTATAGATGTGACTGTGGAACCCTCTTCTCAAGGTAACTAACCTTACACCATTAGGAATGACATATCTGAATTACGGGTTCAGTTTATAAGTCACACATCATTCATTTATGAAGCTGCTGGATGCGATTTGAATCCGAGGTTGACTGAAATTCACATCATTTTTTTTTTTGAGGAAATCGAATTCGAGTAATAATAAAATCACATTCTTTATCCCTTCTTACATTGGAGAAAGATTATATATCCTGAACAAGAAGAGTTCAATTCATTGATATAGTGGGTACCTAGCTATAACCACACCCTTGAGAAAGAGAGAGTGGAAATTCTTAGCATAAAAAAAATAGAAAATTTTTAGTGCACCACCTCGCTCCTAATATGGACCATCTTTTTTTTTAAGTACTCTAAGAAAGAGAGAGAAAGAGTCCAAAATTTTCTGAGCTGTTATAACACTTTAGTGACATTGTTTGGTTTTTGTTTTTTTGTGTGTGTATGTGTGTTTGTTTATGACTTTCAGGAGGGACAGTTTCATAACACACAGAGCCTTCTGTGATGCATTAGCAGAGGAGAGTGCAAGAGCAGTGACAGGCATAGCCAACGCACTTCAACCTGCAGGAGCCTCTTCAGCCTCTCATCATCAGATGAATATTCTCCAAACTCAAAACATTCATGGTTTCCCATTGAAGAAAGAGCAACAAAGTTTCAATCTAAGGGCAGAAATACCACCTTGGCTTGCCCCACCACCACCCACCGTTGATCCAATCTTCTCCCCAAGGTTGGATCAAGATCTTAGCCTCATTGAAAACCCAAACCCTAACCCTAGACTTGGTCCCACTCTTCCTGCATTTCAACAAACACCTTCACCTCACATGTCAGCTACAGCGTTGCTGCAGAAAGCAGCTCAGATGGGTGCAACCATGAGTACCAAAACTTGCTCTTCACCACCACCCATGATCAGGACCCACCAACAAGCTCACGTGCATGCTGACTATGGCAATGGCAACTTCTCAAGCAGTAATTTTGGTTTAAATTTGGCACCTTTTGGGAATAAAGCTGCAGATGCAGATGGTGCTCCCTCAGACCCTATCCTTCATCATGTTATCAACTCTTTCTCTTCTTCTTCTTCTGGGTTTGAAGGAACTTCTTTTGAGGACACTTTTCGTGGGATTCTCAACACAAACAAAGATAATACCATTGCAAAAACAACCACCACCAGAGAAAGTGAAGCATTGACGAGAGATTTCTTGGGTCTTAGACCCCTCTCTCATAGTGATATCCTCACCATTGCTGATATGAGAAACTGCATGAACTCATCCCATGATCAACAAAACCAATCCCAAAAGCCCTGGCAAGGTTAGCTATTATGCATATACATATATATATATATGTTTGTGTATGTGGATTTTCATTTTTATCTTTCTTTTAAATTTAACTTTTGTTTATGATATATCATATATGCTATATATCTTCCCAAAGGGAAGGACCTTTCAGAATCCCAATATTTTCATTTCTTAGAAATAGTTATTTTACGAAATATAACCTTCATATTCTTACATTTTATTTCTATATTATATATTGTAAGTTTAATGTACATGTCCGGCATAGATTAAATATAAGAAATCCAGATGCTAAACACACAAAAAAGTGAGTGTGGTAAAAATTTTAAATTACAATAACCGTGTAAAATATTTAATCGTAGTTGAATGTGAAATTGAGACAACTAGCTAGACCCGACAATTTAATCAAATTAATCTCGGGCCTAACTAAGGAGTACAAATACGGATGTGACACAGATATGACACAAAAAAGTGTGTGTGGTAAAATTTTAAAATTATAGAATACAACAAGGTTAATAATATATATATATATATATATATATATATATATATATATATATAATTATAATAAATACATCAATGCAAATAAACTTTAGTCAGTATAAATAAAATAAAATATTTTTTATATAATCATTATAGCATTTCATTTGCAATGGTACAAAAATTCAAAATATTTGAAATCTATAAGATAGAGGTATCTAAAAGTATATATGAAGTATCCAATTAAATACGATATATGTATATCACAAATTCTGAAACAGCAACCATTATAATGTATTATTACTTTTAACCATTTATACTGACAATGACACCTAGTGCCTTTAAATAAATTTCTATTTTTTTTAAAAAATTATTATATATATATATATATATATATATGATCAATTTATACTAGTGTAATAATAGTAAGTCTCTTACTCAATCTTAACGGTTGATTTCTGTGCATTAGATAATTATGATTTATTGGGTTATATTCATTAATTAATTATAAATTTTCAATAAATCATCATCTCCGATGTGCAAAATTCAATTGTTAAAATTTATTGTAAGTTTTATTATTTATCTCAAGCAGCTTGAAAAATATTTTTCCCATATATATAATATATATATATATATATATATATATATATATATTCAATTTTCATTATTATTGTATTTGTTAAAAAATTTAAATATCAACCGGTGACCAAAATTAATAGATCTCATTATTTCGGTTTCGGGTTTAGTTTTTCCACCCTCCCCAAGTCTTTCGAAACTCTCTTTTTAAAATTAAGTGAATTGAGTGATTTTTTTTATCGATTTTGATATTAATATAGAACTGGTTTTTTTATTTATTTATTTACATATAAGGATTTAGCTTAATGTTCTTTTCTGGAAACGTTTTGTCTTTTATAGTTTGTTGCCATTGTATTCAAGTTGAAGTATGTTTGTTGTGATAGGAATAACATGCTCAGTCCTTATCACGATTTCTTCACCTTCTTTATTTTGTACACCACGGAGCTTTACAGAGAAATTAAGTAGACAAACATTAAGTACCATGATAAACGTCAATGGGTAAATTGTCTCAATCCCTGTCGTTTTTACTTTCATTTTTCTAATTTAAAGTTTATCAAACCCTTTTATACACTTTGACGTGAAGAAAACCCCAAAATCTATATCAAATTTACCCAAATTTAAAAGGAGTTTATTACAATAAATTGGTTCATGCAGTGTAAGATGTTCTCATGATATAGATTTGAATCTTCAGTATTTTTTTCGTCTACGCGTAAATTTGTCCTACTTACCACTTTCTCTTTTATCTTATTGATTAAGCTTTTTCTCTCATCACTTGACAAAACTTACTGGTAAAAACGAAAATTTTCTTAAGCCAATTATGCGTCTTCTTTTTTTTTTTTTAAGAAGAATGGGGTGGAGAAGCCACTCTTAATCTTATGTGTCTTTGACAGTATGGGTAAGTCACATGCGTATCAATACAAGATCAAAACAAAACGACATAGACACAAAACAGATTATGGTTGTGACAGTGAGAGGGTTTGTTTTTTTATTTTGAATATTTTAACTTGAATTTATTGGGGGGAAATACTAGTTATTTAAATAACTTAACTATTTTGAAGAATAAATGACGAACCTCAAGAACACTTTAACACAATAAAGAAAACAAAACATGGCCGCACATGATCATGGAAGCAACATCGATTTCAACGCAACATATAAAATAGTTTGATTATGGGAACGTATGCATGTGCTGTAGTATAAAGTATGTTTAGGGATATACCGTGGATGAGATTGGTTGGGTACATAAAAAGCATTGGATTCTTCGCGATGTGGAGTATATTGGGGAGAATGCTATGCACGCTAACTTCATTTAGATTCGTTGCCGTGATTTTTGAGGAATTATACCAAATAAAAATGAACAAGTTATTTTACTTATATTTTTTTATTTATTTTACTTACTTATTTTAATATAATTGGATCAAAATCTTAAAAGAAGAAAGAAAAAAATAAAATTTTAATCAAATAATATTAAAAATGAGTAAGGTATAAAAAAAATAAAAAAAGATGCTACCAGTACCCGATGTGGGCAAAAGCGGGATTCAATCCCGAGGGACGATTCCTTATATCCATTCACCTATTTTTCCTTTTTTAATTTCCAACACAAGCTTAAAAAAAAAAATTGCTACGATATTTCCTTATCATCCACACACTGACACACATGCGTTATATATTCTTTTCTTATAAGTGTTTTGGTTGACAAGTAAATCTTTATTACATTTGCAACTTCATTTACTCTTTTACTGAAAATAAAAATGAATAAAATTCCTTTATGGTCGTGAAAAATTATATTTAAAAGGAATAAAAATGGCGATACATGAACCGTCAAAGTCAATCAATTAAAACTTAATAATATTCCAACATAATTATATTTAAATAAAGGAAAAATATTTTTTTATATTACATGAGAATTCAATTATTATGTTGTGATCCTTCAATTTGCGTGTCATTTTTTTTTTTTTAAATAAATGTGAAGTTCACCACTAATTAAATAATAATATAATAATTCAATAAGATTAAAAAATTAAATTCCTTAAATAAATACAGTTATTTCTGTAAATAAGTGCATGTATATGGATATGTTGTCGGAGATTTCATTAATTAACACGATAAGGTGTTACCGTACTTTACAATGTGGAAAGTGCGAGACAGACACTCATCCCTACAAAAAGATTCCTCTGAATCCCGATGCTCTATCTAGTCTTGTGAGCCTTCATCTTACACGTGAAAATGAAAGGATAAAAGAATAATAATCAATTACCCTTAAACGGTAAAATAAAATAGTGCGAAAAAAAAAAAATTTGGGTTCAATTCCATCAAATACAAATATTGTCCAAAAAAAACGTATTCTTTTAAATACTATTTAAAATGCACGGGACAATTTTACCCAAAAAAAAATAAAAAAAATGCCCGGGGCAATTTCTCTTCTAATCTTCTATGATTTTTTTTTTTTTTTTGAGTTACCCAATGGGTTGCAGCTCAGTTGGTAACTTGGCGCTGAGTTAGTGGGGTTGGATATGTGTTCGATTCCCGCTGAATGCATTCTTGAGGAGGGGGCTGAACCTTTAGCCATTCCCCCGCACTCCCGATTAGTCTCATAGCCGGCTCAAAGAGTCGAAGCTCGTGGGGATACCAGAGTAACCGTATTCTATGATTTTTCTTTGTAATAAGTAGCACGACAAAGATAATGTCATGATAATTGCATGTTTGTCAATTTCATGTATGTGGTGAGATTTCTTTGTTGGAGACAGGAAAGGTGTAGAGATAGCTAAACAACGTAAATGGAAAGGGAAAAAGGGTAGCTAGGTAGAGTGTGAACTGTGAAGAGCAAAAAGCACACTCCCCCATGCCTATATGATATCCCTCTACTGTTACTGTTTGCATTGGTTTTAGATATTCTTTGTTGGGTTTGCTTTTTGTCTGGCAGTGTTAATTAGGACGACGAAAAACAACAATATGCGTTTGGTACCTCTAAAAAGCTGAGAGAGTTGCCAGAATGATTGAGGGGAGTTTTGTTTGTTGTCTGCGTTTTTTTATGATGGGCAGCATATGTAGAAGCCACGATCCCAGTTGACTTGTCATTGTAAAGATGATTCCCCACTCTCTCCCCTTTGGCAAAAAGTAATGCTACCTTTTCTCTTTGACTCAAGCCTACATCACTTTCTCCCTTCCCTTCATCCTATGCATGTATCATGTATGTTTGCAAGCTTTAAGTTTTCTCAGTGTATCCTAACACCACTTCATCTCAAAGGTGTTATTTGTTGAAGTTAAAAATTATAGATAGGATCTGTTTACAATTTTTTTTTACAAATTACACTAAGTACGACCGGTCGTACAGTGTATGATTAAAGTATGATCAGTCGTACTTAGTCTAGTTTGTAAAAAAAAAAATTGTAAATATAACGTGTCCCTAAAAGTTATTTTTGTGAAATTGAAATATGAATCCTCAGAATTTTAATTACCAACCCTTCAATTTTAGCTATTTGAATTGTTTTTTGCCTAGTATGAATTCGGTTTTTCTTTTTCACTGAGAGTTTAAAAGGACGAATTTCCAATATCTGGGCATGAATGTGATTACTTAATTAACTTCTCTTACTCGTAGAAAACTAACGACACATAAATTAATTAAATGCACGAATTTGAATCATTTATCTTTTTACCTAAGTATTATATATTTATCAATTGAAAGGAAAAAGACAAAATGGACAAGTAATTTTTATTTTTATTTTGGTAATAAAAAGGACAAGTAACTTGAGTGTACAGGAATAAGACGTAACAATGTAAGCTGCATTTTATAGAATAAAATGTAAATAGTTGTTTCTGTAAAGATCAAACGACTATGTACCAAAAAAAAAAAAAAAGATCAAACGACTAGTATTATTTTGATAGGAATCCAGTATTTTATTTTGAAGTGCACAGTTTACCAGACCACCACAAACCAAATGTATTTAATTTGGTAAACCTAATTATATCACCTACATATTATAAGATTTTTTTACTTTGTGTGTGTGTGTGTGGTGGGTGGGTTTTTTTTTTTTTTTTTTTTTTTTGGGGGGGGGGGGGGGGGGGGGGGGGGGGGGGTGCGTACATAAAGAAGATAAAC